AACTAATGGGGAACTGTGCCATGCATGGCTTGTTATTTCTTGTAGTTACCATCGGACAAAGTCCGCAATGAGATCTTGTGTTCCGTTTTGCATTGTCCATCATGTTTTACACTTACTAATATGTGTTTCTTTGAAGTTCTGATTCAAAAAGGCTGACTCATTTCAGTGTTGTTTACTATTGATCTAATGTTTCATTACATGACTTGTTACAAGAATGTGTACAAATGCAAGGCATAATGGGGTGCATATTCACACAGTTATTTTTAAATTTTGATCAAATTTAATCAACTGATTTCTAATCATATTACTTTCAATTTTTTTCTACTTCTTGAAAATTGCTTTAATATTACACATATAGGTACCTTAGGTAGATCTCCATCAAATTTGTTCATTTCATTTCATGACAAACCATAATGGTATGCATATGCACATTGATTTGTTTGGATAACCTCTGACTGACTTGTGACATTTTTGTTCCCAAAAGCACTTTTGAACACATGTTTAATGTTATCTTGCTGGATACTCAACCAACATTTATTTATAATCTGCATTTCTTTTTATAATTGACAGTTACAATGACTTGTTGAAATTAACTTTCAGTCGTTCTAATTACAAGTTTTTATTGCATAATTCAACAAATAATTGTTGGTAACCCGTCTGAAACTGGCTGCAATAATCACAGTACTGCCACATAATTAGTTTTGGTTAAATTAATTAAAACAAATAATGGGATTTGTTGACGTTTACACTATGGTTTTACTTAAATTTATGCTGTTATTTGCAAAATCTAAATAAATGTATATAATCACCATGAAAATGATCATTTTTGGTTTGGACTATTCACCTATGGTAACAACACTGTGATGATTGTTTCAAAATGTCAATTTTTTTAGGCAGTTTTTCATCACAACTGTGGATGATATACCAGAATGAATGACATGCATCATGTCACAATGTTTGAGGAGTTGGTCCTGTATGTAAAACTTGACATTGGAAGAGCACCCTCTAGTGTCGTCTTCTCAGGTTTGCCATAAATGTTGGTACTTAACATTGCCTTCTTTTTGCAGGCTATGCCTGGGCTGAAGATAAGGAACATTGTGAAGAATTTGGTCGTATGCTACAAGCTGACCCAAATAAAGTCAGTCCTAGAGCTAAAAAAAGGGGTTTACCTCAGGTAGGGCAGTAAATCAAAAGTTATATTGATAACATGATCATCTCATTTTCTCTTCTCAAGTATTTGCTGATTGGCTGCCTGGTGTTACATTTTCATGAGATAACTATCTATCTATTGCATTGTTTCTATAGCTGGGTACACTTGGTGCTGGTAATCATTATGCTGAGATACAAGTAGTGGATGAGATCTATGATTCACATGCCAGTAAAAAGATGGGTATTGACTTTGTAGGACAAGTATGTGTTATGATACACAGTGGTAGTCGGGGATTAGGTCATCAAGTTGCAACAGGTAAACCATGATAAAAGTTTATATTGAATATATCAACTGTGTAAAACCTAAACTCACCCTATTGGCTACTATAGTAATAATAAACAACTCACACAAGGAGATAATGCTCTATTGAGTGAAGAATTTGGCTAGAATTCATTGTGGCATTATGGGTAATTTGAAGATGCATAATGCTCTATGCTGAAAGATGCAGTTGAATGAATTGTTCAAAGTTGATACATGCTGGTGGAACACAAGAGTAATACTCTGACATCTTAAAATGTACAGCAATGACTTAGTGCAAAATATCACCAATGAAGATGGTCTACACTCAAGTCAGCCATGTATTAGCATACATGTATTTCTGGGTCAACAAATTTGACTTATGACTTGAGTTTATTAATGGCTTTAACAAAAGTTTACTTAATAACCTAATTTTATATCAATTGTTTTCTGTCCGTATGTCTGTGTCGCTTTACTATCAAAATAATATAATATACATATATTGCTATACAATATGATGCTTAGCATCAAATAAAAGCACAACAAAAATTTCATGTTTGTCAAAATTTGAAAAACAATTGTTTAGAACAATCCAAGATGATGTACCATAAATTTCAAGAATCTTTAGTGTGATAATTATTGCTAATTAATATTTAACAAAACATTCTTAGTAGTAACAGTAAAAACTCATTTTAATATTGAGTGTAACAATTGGGGCAATGCTCACTGTGTTGCTGAAACTTTATCATGCTACCTTTGTAAGCCCTAGTCTGAAGTGATGACTCTCTGTATTGTCTCTGATAGATGCTCTTGTACAAATGGAGAAAGCCATGAAGAGAGATAAGATAGAAGTAAATGATCGTCAGTTGGCTTGTGCTAAAATAACATCTCAAGAAGGTCAAGATTATCTCAAAGGAATGGCTGGTGCTGCTAACTATGCATTTGTTAATAGGACTAGTATGTGTTTTCTGACACGGCAGGTACGTTACAAAATCATGGTCATGTCTAGTGGGATTACATTCAAATTGGGGACGGTACATTTGACATTATGGTACCTTGATGCACGTTGCATTGTTTTGCATCATGTAATAGTGTGTGCCTTATCATAGACATAGCTTGATCTACCACATTCAAACTTCACACATATACATGTATACAACTTGGGATATATATACATGTGCATTTGTTTCACAGTCCAATTTAAGATGGCCCAGTGCAAATCACATTGAAATTTCACAAAAATGTCAGGTTGTATATGCACAATCATGCATTTAGTTTGTGATCAAATTTAAAATTGCCGAATATCGTATGCATATCGTACATTTTTGCCGTTCCTGAATCTGAAATCAAACATTACACCTATGTTATACATAAGTCAAGTTCCGATTCAGGATGACTGAATGATTTATCATGGGACATACATGACATGACTTCATTTGCATACTTTGTTTCAAGACTTTGATTGTTGACATGAGTTTACTTTGTATTTTACAGGCAGTAGCCAAAGTATTCAATACCACACCAGATGATCTTGATATGCATATGATCTATGATGTGTCTCATAATATAGCAAAGATTGAACAACATATATCCTTTACTCTACTTCTATTGGTCATTTAATTTATTGTTTTGACTATTTAATAATTACAACAATTAATTTAGCCAGTGTCCTTTCTTCCTAGCATTCAAAAATCATTCCTCACATATTAATCAAACTTGAATTGAATGTTCTTGAATTATTCTAATTTGGTCTTCTTTTCCCCAAATCCAGAATAAACAGCCAGAACCCTCAACCTTCCTGTGACTGATATGTCATTGCAACTATGTTGCAGAGCCAAAATACTAATTAAATTTAAATATTTGTTATCCCCAAACTTCCTCTCTGTAGTATATGCATGGCAGGCTGGAATGCAGAATTAAAAAGATCGCCAGGACACAGACAATTTGTTTTTATGCCAAATAAATATTCTTTTGATGTATTTTATTTTGTGCTGTACAATTCAAAACTAGCACTGCAAAAAAAAAACAAACAAAAAAAAAAACATTTTTTACATGTCTCCCTGACCTGTGTATGCTGTACTGTATAACATACTTTGGAATAACAATTATTTCCTACACAATTATATGAATTCTCATCAGTACATACATACATAACATTTCATTTCAGTTTTGTTTTTTATTTCACAATTGGGAATGTGTCAGATCAATATTATTTTACTTTTTAAGTCTTTGTCATATGACTGAAATGGAGTCAACTGCTAGCAATTGTATGCATATAGCTATAGCTAATGAGCTATTTGGATAATTTCTGTGTACCGGTAATCATACAACTACCGATTACATGTCTCTTTCCCAATGATAAGATCCATTAGTTTTTTCTTATGTTAATTTCTACATCATTGATGGTAAAGAGAAGACATTATTGGTCCATCGTAAGGGATCTACAAGAGCATTTCCTCCTCACCATCCTCTCATACCAGTAGACTATCAGGTAACTGTAGACTTATCTTGCATTCTCGTTACCACCTTCTGATATCAGTAGGCAATCAAGTAAATGTAGACTTACCTCTCTTTCCACTTACCATCTTCTGATATCAGTAGATAATCAAGTAAATGCAGACTTACCTACCTTTCTACTTACCATCTTCTGATATCAGTAGATAATCAAGTAAATGCAGACTTACCTACCTTTCTACTTACCATCTTCTGATATCAGTAGATAATCAAGTAAATGTAGCCTTACCTGTCTTTCCTACTTACCATCCTCTGATATCAGGAGATAATCAAGTAAATGCAGACTTACCTACCTTTCTACTTACCATCTTCTGATATCAGTAGATAAGCAAGTAAATGTAACCTTACCTGTCTTTCCACTTACCATCTTCTGATATCAGTAGATAATCAAGTGAAGGCAAAATTACCTTTCTTCCTACTTGCCTTCTTCTTAAACGTAGACTTACTTCCCTTCCCTCTCACCATATCCTGCAAGTCATATTGGGTTTGTTGTGTCATACAGATGACTGGTCAGCCAGTGTTGATTGGTGGTACTATGGGTACATGTAGTTATGTATTGACTGGAACTGATGAAGGCATGTCCCGGACGTTTGGTACAACGTGTCATGGCGCTGGGAGGGCATGGTCCAGAGCTAAATCTCGGCGAAATCTTGACTACCATGATGTGCTATCTAAACTGGCAGATCAA